CTGCCTAGCATGAGAATAACATTTTCTAGCTAGCCACTCAGCTGCATTCTTGCTAGTATGGTTCAAGCAAAAGTAAAGTATCCTCATTGGAAAGCTTCTTTTTCTCTTTTTTTTTTTTTTTTTTTTTTACATTTCAACTGGCTCTGATCTCAGACCCTGTGCTGATTTAGAATGAAAGAAAAGAACAGAGAGTCAATTAAACAAAAGAATTCTGAATCTCTGACTTCAAGGAGCTATACCTAGCTAACACAAATAATTTATAGTTTTAGACTTCTACAAGAAAGTAGATAAAATTATACTTATTTATATCAGATTTTAGGAGATTTTCTGTGACTACCAACTTCTTATCTCCAGTACCTGACAAGCCTTGGGGAATATGGGAGGTTAGCTTGTCTTCAGGATTTTGATCTCCAACACTAAAAGCTCAAAGACAGTGGAACAGCACCCAGTATTTATTGAATCTTGAGTTTAGAGTGGGTATAGGACACACAGAGAAGAGACTTTCAATGCCGTTTGGAGATGGAAGGAAATAAATTAAATCTTAAATTTAAGAAAGTCAGAAGGTGAATGTGCATCTCTTAGAAAATCAGCAAGCATTTTTGTTTACGAATAACAATCATAATGTTCCCTTAAAATAATAGAAAAAAGTCCGATATAGCCCTCACTTCCTGTGATCTAAACTGAGGGAGTCCTTGAGCTTCTGAATCATTGTTCCAGGTCTCTCATCTCTGTCTTTGCTAAACTCAGCACTCTGCTAGTCTAGAAAAAAAGAAACACGTTGGCTGAAAAAAAAAAAAATTCAAAATGGAAAAAAAAAAGCATCAAAAATGAAGGAAAGCTTGAGAACTAAGGAAAGATGGAAAATGAACAGCCCAGGATGTGAGAATGCAGGAAATACTATCATTTCTGTAAAACAAGGATAAACTAGAAATAAAGCAAACACAGAAGATAGTGAAATTGTAAAGGGAAAGGAAAAGCTAGAGTGTGAGGCAAAAGGAAAGTCAGGGTAAGGAAAATCAGGTGAAGAAGGAAGCCAGCTAACCTAAGACAGTAGGACATACCCAGTTGAGGATTAATATGCCCAGAAAGAAAATAAAAGCCAAAAGAAAAGAAAAACCAAGAGTTAGCTCAATGCCTCAAGAAATATTAGGCGGCTATAGAAATGCATGTGAACAGGAGGGAGATAAGAGAATCTAAGACAGAAAAGGGGAGGATGAAGTGAAGAAAACCAGATAGAAAGTGAGTAGTTTGGTGTCGATGCAATAAAGTTCACAAGACCACTTCCAGACAAAGAGCCCAAGGGAACTCAGGGATGGTGCCAAGACACACATGGGGCTTTGAAAACATTCCTTTTGGTACTGACTCTGGCTGAAGTTGCCAGGCCCTATACTTTAACCTTATGCTGGTACTTTTGCATTAGGTATCACTCTTTTATCAAACTTAGCACTCTATTTCAGTAATAGATTTTCATCCTTTACAAAATGTTGATGGTGCTTTGTAAAATTAAATCAGAAAGAGTCTGCAGAGCCATAAAAATAAAATACCATAAAGATGCTTTGTAAAGATGCACATTTCAGTTAATGGAGAATGAGAGGTATGGAAAAAATAGATGATTAATAAAAGAGTAAAAGAGCAAAGAGCGCAGAGTTGAAATTGGAGGAATCGGTGGAGTACTGTTGAAGATTAGGTTGAGCTGTAAATTAGACAACTGAGAGTTACTTATAAAAGACAAAGTTAGATTCTGATGTGTAAAAGAAATGTGGGGTGAGGCAGTTCAGTGTAAACTTAATGACTGCTCAGGAACTGAGGCTTCCTCGCCCTACCATGTGTTGCTA